AAATCTTGCACTAGCTCATATCACATAAGCCTATATTTCCTTCTCCATGACAAGAAGTCTCATAAAAGAGCTGCACCAAAATTTACCAAACTCGATTGCAAATCAAGACAAGATAGTTGCATTGTGTTCAACGAAAAAAATGGAGGCACTGAATAGATTTGAGAATATATGTTACATTAGTACAGGAATAATAAAACAAAACACATAGTGTATAATCTAAACAGACACCAAAAATAATGATGTCAGAAAATCAGCTCGCATTGTGTGTAGATGTGATGAGGTGCATGATAAGAAATTAAGGCCCACAAAAACAATCAAACATATGATAGGAAGCATCTAAACATTTATCTAGTAAGACAATGCATCAGCCATGTTTATGGGGGATCATCATTAGTCCTGTCTGCAGAAATTTCAACCGAATTAGACTAAGTAACAACAATATAGCAGAAAACTTAATCGTGGGATTACTTTCTTAAGATACGCTATGGAAAAAGCAAAATTTACACATGCAGCGCAAGTTAGAGATGAACATAGGAAAGCGGCAGCGTACAAACTAATATCAACTAAGAAATGCATTCAATGACTAGAACAAAAAGGTTAACTTATTACCATGAAATGTAAGATAGTAAAGTATATCAGAAAATGGTAAGAAACCAGGGTAAGATCCTCAGATATTGATTACATAAAAAGGAACACAGAGCTCTAGAATACGTTGCAAAGGCAGTATATATGGATAACTTGGAAAGGGAAAAAATCAGTCTTAAAGAAAGAGGAAGGTACTCACTGTATACCGCTACAAGCCATGCATACGAAAGTCCAGAAAGTCGTGCAAACATATTGAGGACCCTGCATCAAATTTGCAAGTCTTACTATAGCCAAAATGAACATAATTCCAAAATCACAAAATGAATGAAAACTTTATAGCTTTCCAAAACTTGTCTTTCCATTTCCATAATCGGAAACAAGAAAATTACTTGGATTTTGTAGATTAACTTCACTTTAGTTAGAACCCGTCAAAGAGACATAATCAAAAACATTACCTAGACTAGAAGAAGCAAACAAAATCCCCAAAAACATATCCATCTTCAAAATGATAATCCGAGAAGCTGAAGTCAAAGACTAACAGCGAAAAACCCATCACTTCGAAACTCAATACGAACATAAAACACTCACGGAAACCATAAAAATTTGAGCTTTTCTAATCAAGGAAACAGAACCAATTAGACCCTCGAGGGGAAAGAAACAAAAATTGGTGAAAAAAAGAGAGAGTTGTATTTGTTTACAAGGCTATTGCAGTTGATACAACGACGATTCGGCGGAAGCTTCATAAGACCACGAATAATCTTCTCGTTCCTCTCTTCTTCTCTTTTACTTCCCATATCGACCAACGAAATACGAGAGTGTCCCCTAGATTACGAGGTTGACTCACGAAGCGATTTCGTGAAATTGGGGGAAAAGTTGGCTTAAGTCGCTGCTAATCAATGGATTTTGGAGCTGGGATTTTCGAATGCTCGAATTTGAATTTCACACGAGAGAGAAAGAGAGCTTTTTTATCCCTTTGTATGAGAAAAGGGGAAGAAACTTATGTTTTCCTTTAACTCTCTCTCTCGTAGTCGTAAGTTGATCTTCTCTCGTGTGGGCTTTTTTGGCTGACCCACATCATTATTATAACGAGTTGTGTTCAGGGAAATAATTCTGATGAATCACAACATTTTTAAATTTATAGATTATCCATATCTTTTTGCACAAAAACAAAAAAAGATTATCCATATCTCAACTTTTTTTTTTTGAAACAGTTTATAAGAACAGATACTACACTTGATCTTAGCCAAAACGCCGAGAAAGGTATCATATCTCAACTTTATTCTTATTTTGAAAGAAAAATTGCCAATTATATGAACTCATCGTTCGTTACATGAACAGATATTGAATTGGTAACATTTTACTGTGGCGATAAGTGATATATGTGCACCGTTTTAGTGATCACGAATCATAAAAATGGTATAATTAACTAACCGTACCAAAAAGGATATGCTCAATTAATTTTGTACCGCTATCTTGTTTTTTTTTTTTTTTAACTATTCTAGTATCGCTTGCCGTATTTTTCTCGCTAAAAAACTTTTAACGATTTGTGTCACCAATCAAATTCGAAAAGAAAATACAAATTATAAAAAGGAGAATGTACAAAGTTGCATTATACTCATAGGCTCTTACGAGAGAGAAGTAATTTTCAACAATGTTGGAAGTCAAAGCTTCTGATTTTTTTTTACGCAGAAGCATACTTGTAAGAAATAAATGCTTATGAGAAAAGATATAGTTAGGATGACATAATCTTTTAGATAAATTAAAAGAAGGCAATAGAATTAAGAAAAGATAAAACCATCTCGATCAATCTCCATTTCTTGTCTCTTTCTTGCTCTCTTACATTGTTTTTTATTTATACCTTTGACGTTCAAAGAGTGGTTAGGGTTTTTGTTCTAGGTATAGTGGAGTTGTTATTCTTCTTACGTACTGCAAATTTTGGATAATTAAGGTATACTTCAATATATATATATATATGATCCGGTTTGTCTGATGAGCAGAAAGAAAAGATGTCTAAGCTTATGCAAAATCCGGTGTTTCATGAAATGAAGAAACAAGCATCTTTCTTCATCAAGGAGAAGATCAAGACTGCTCGCCTCGCTGTAACCGATGTTACTGAAGAAGAATTGTGAGAAGATATTGTATGAGTATTTTATAATATCTTTGTGTTTAATCGATTTTGAATTAATTAACCAGTTTGGTTTTTTCATTGTGAAGATTGGTAGAAGAAGTTACGGGCAGTGACCACTCGTCCATAGACGCACGCTCCATGGCGATCATAACACGAGCTTCTTTTGAAGTTGATCAATTCCAAAGAATCATAAAGATTCTACGTCAGAGGTTAGTCATTTTGTCTCAATTTAATTCAAGCAAAACAAATATTAATCCACGCACCCAAGAAGAACAAACTAAGAATTATTTTATCATGGTCTAAGTGTGGTTCTTATACGTTTTTATAATCTAAGCAACTTGTTAAAATTTCAGTTATATAGAATCTTTTTACCATAAATTCCATCAGAATTAAATTGTAAGCTACAATTCTTATAAATTCCATATATAATTAATTGGTGTTATTTTTCCAGAATGCTAATGTTTGATAGAAGCGAATGGCGTGGCATGTACAACACGTTGACTATGTTGAACCATTTGCTGGTTAATGGACCGCTAAGTGTATTCAAAGAGTTTCAACATGAGAGAGTAATAATCGAAGATGCTATAAACATTGAGTGGATTGATGAGAGAGGGTTCGATTGTGGTCTAAAGATTCGAAACATAGCCGAAAAGGTACTAAGATTGCTTGAAGATGACATGTTTCTTAAGGATGAGAGAGAAGTAAAACGTACACAAAGCGTTGGTCGGATCACAGGATTCGGAAGCTCAAGTTTCGTCATACATTCTGAAACGAACAGCGGAAGAGAAAGAAGAGAAAGCGAATTCTCGAGTGACCACCAAACTTGTGAAAATGATCATAATGATCATCCTTTCGTTGAGAATGAGCACAATAGTGCTCAACTCTTGCTTTCTTCTTGGACTTGAGATGGATCGGATTGCCTTGTTTGTATTATTGAGAATAAATGTTTGATCATGTGTTGGAGACAATTTTTCTCATAAATATATTTAGAAAGACTTTCATAAATATGTGAGAATAATTCATAAATTTTTTTTAGGAAAGTTTCCTACATATTTAGGAACGTCCTTCTAAACCTTAAAGAAAAACAAAATTCTATTAATTTGTCATATTTTTCTTTTAGTGAGAGCCTAAATATCCTATCATTTGTCATATTTCTCTATTAATTTCCATGTCTATTTAATTTAGGAATACCTTCATAAATATGTGAGAATCCATCCTAAATTTATTATTTATGAAAGTTTTCTACATATTTCGGAAGCTCTTCCTAAATAAGTGAGAATTCTTCCTAAGTGAGAAATACAATTTTATCTCATGATTATTGCACCCTTTTTAAAAAAATTGATGCTAAATCTCATAATTAACATCGTTTTCTTATTGATGTAAGTTTTATATCATTTTTCTAAATGATATTAATAAAAATTAACAAATAGATCAGTTATTTAACTTATGTAAATTTATATTTGGTATCAATATGTTAAACTAATGTAAACTAGGATAAATTTGTATTTTTAATGAACTGATGTTTGTATAAGTCGATAACAACATCAATTAGTTAATGTTTAATAAAATAGTTTGCATCATTTATTAATAAGTAATTTAAATTAGTGTCATTTAGTTTTGTGATGTTATTTATCTGATGCAACAAGCATTGTTTTTTGTAGTGCACGCGTTTTACACACACAAAGCAGTTAAAAAAAATACTCAACCGTCTCTCAAATTCCTTTTTCTTGTAGAATCAGCCAATCGTTTTTAAGTTTTATCCATTCATCACCAAAAACTGTTCCGACAATCACTTCTCCATCATCTTTTAAGTCGTTTTATCCTTAATGTCAGTCGTCTCCTCTTCATCTTCGTTATCTTCAGTGTCAGTCGAAGATTTCTCATCCTAAAATGGAGTATCTTCTCGTATGATCCATGTAAACATTTTTTTACAGCAGCCAAGAAAGACCGGACAGAGGATAAGCAAAAACAACGCAACAAAAATGTAACATGAAAACGAATAGTCCTTGTAATGAACATTACAATCTTCATCAACCGAAAGAACCACTTGCTTGGTCGCTTCAGCACTCGCGATCCAAGCCAACATTAAACACAAAGCCAAGTGAGCCCTAAACTCAACCAAGACATCCCTGCCATTACCGGCAAGTGACACAGGAAGACATCATGTATATGGGTAGATTTTGTCATTAAATCTGTTATTTTCCTTCTCCATATTCGCTATTGCTCTAATACGAATTGTGCGTATGGGTAGGATCTCTTGCCTAAACCTCCAAATTGCACATCGCATGACAAAATCCAATGCTTTCGACAATAGTTTTGAAAAATCGACATTCTGATACCAAATCTTCCGTATCAACGTCATTGTAAAAAACGTTGACTTTGTTTTTTCTGGATTTGATTCAAAGAAAGCTGTATTCCTTCGAATAGAGTGGTTATTCCAGTGATTCTAAGATCGAAAACCCAAGTGACATCAATGGCTTTGATTGGTAAACACTGCGTAATTGCAGAATGGCAAAAAAATGCAATTCTGTAAGTTGCAGAATCTGCGTTTTGGCTGAAAAAAATACAAAGAAATCTTCATTAAACAAATAAGTGTGTTATACTTGCTTTTTGGTGGAACAATTGAAAATTAATGACAATAATAATAAATATTTCGACCACAAATTAACTCAACTACCATTATACTAGTTTTTATGTGGAAAAGCAATTGAAAAGTAATGACCACACTAATTAATCGTTTGACTATAAATTATTAGAACTGAGATTCCATCTATGATTTCGGCTAGACAATATCATTAGATTTTTTTATGTATTATTATGAATGTTTTCATAAATAAGTAAAAAAGAATTGCTCTTTTCT